ACATCTTTGCATTTTGCACAGATTTAACGAGAAAAATGACAAATTGCATATCTTTTACGTAGTAATTAAAAATAGAACTCCTCGAGTAGTGATACCAATTTCAAAAATAAACTATAGACATATACCAGACATATTTTCTAATTATAGTTCGAGAGGATTTGCTATAGATGTAACCTCGGAAGAAGAAGAAAAACTCAGAAGACTTGCTGCGTTGCAGTGGTTTATAGATTGTAAAGAGTATCATTTTCTTGTTACACATTTTTTGTTGATGATAATAATTCAATGTTAATGATAGTTTTATTTTGTCTATTTTTTTGCATTTCTCTTCATTGACATAAATAAGAAGTATGAGAGTATTACAATTTAAACTTTGGGAAAAAAATTTGCTATGTGAATTTTATGTCTTGTCTTTTTACATAACTTAGTCTCACAATGTTGAAATCTATGCTGCATGATTGATCAAAAGATAGATAGAAAGTCATTCAAAACATAGAATGGAGTTTGCAGTGTTTATCCATGCATTTTATTTTGCAAATTTTGCAAATATTACTTTCTAATGAATGACATGGTGAGTGATCATAAAACTTAATTGGTATGTATTGATTCAATCTCTTAATATTGACGTCTATAATTCATTCAGCTTGTCATTTCTGGTGAGTTAAAGTTGCAACCTTTGTTCATGTAGTAAGATTTTTGCAGTGAACTTATCCATTATCAAAATTTTGATATATATTTGAAAAAAAATAATTTGATGAAAGAAATCAACAGTGTGGTAATTTAGGTGAGATACAAAGTAAAATGTTGATGATCTTAACAAAAATTTGATTTGTTGATGACATGATCAAAGGTGTTGCAAAGTTTTTGCCCTATTAGAGTTTTAACAACAATTTGTAAGTGAAAATTTTAATCTATAACTTGTGATTTGAATAAAAACATTCAAGTTAAGAACCTTGCATTGCAAATCAAATATCTTCGTGAATGTAGTTCATACACACGTTACTTGTTTCAATCAAATTTGTAATTCTTGAGAAGCTTAGGTTGAAAAGCATTTTTTTTTTGTGATTTAAAGAATTTCTTGTAGTGAAAACAAGGAGCAAGATTTGTTAATAATTTCTCTAAATACATACAAGATGATATGTTTTGCAATGATTTTAGTGTTATGAAAAAACTCCACAAAGTAATGAATTTGAATATGCAATAATTGTGCTAAATCTTAAATTATTGCGTCAATACCTTAGCATTTAAGATAAATAATGATGTGCATGACATACACATTTTTTCATTCAAGATTTAAATAAATAAATACATATTTTAAAATAAAAATCTTAAAGACTAGCAATGTCAAATTAAAAATATCAAATATAATTAATATTATGATTAATTTTTAAAAATATTTGTCAAAAGGTTTATTTAGACCTAAAAATATTTAAAATAAAGACACATAATGTAAAAACTTGCATTTTTTTGCATATTTTGCATACTTACAATCTTATGCATATAAAAAAATCCATAAGTTAAGAAGTTATTTAAAAAAATACAACAAAAAATTGAAATCTTCTTTATAATTTTTTGAAGCTTATGAGGTACAATAAAACAATCAGAACATCGGATTGATTTTTTTTAGTATTCTTATCAAAGATTTGCAAAGTCTTGATGAAAGTTTGAATATTGGAAAAATTCCTCTTATCTATTGAAAATAGGAGCATCAATTTTGAAAATAAGAAATACCTTGAAGGGTTATTTTCTTCCTTATATCAAAATTCTCGACAAGAATAAGGAGATAATGTTTTCTACTCATTTTTTCTATTGCATTTATAATGTTTCGATGAATGTCGTATACTTCACAGGGATGATTGAAATGATTACTAGAAATAGTCTACTATAAAGCAAACCTATCTCCATCTTAAGTAGCCTTTAATTTAGTTCAAAAAATTGAAGTTGATTACAATTGGTTATAATAACAAGTTTTTAATTTTTTTATTATAATAAAAATATGATATCTTGCAATATATCGATATTTTTTATTCTAAAATATATATAAATGATGTTACACTTTCAATATACTTTTAAAATTATAAAAATGATAAAAAATATTGAACAAAAATGTTAGAAACACACAACATAATCACAAACATTCAACATTCACACAAAGCTCATAGATGAGATACTCAAATCATCTTGCTGATGTTATTTATATGAAAACACAATACTATTCAAAATATCAAAAACTATAATTGTGTCTCACAGTTTTAGAATCAATCGTTCAATATAATAATATGCTCTTGCTAATCTAATTATCTACAATAAAACAAAATAATGATAACAAGGATTTGAGTTATTTTGTAAGAAATCTATTTCTTAGTTCATAATTTCAAAATCTTAAACTCCACAATCTAAAATATATAACATAAATCTTTATTTAGATTAAAGATAATTAGAACAAAATTTTAGTCAAGACATGATTGATTAAATTTTTATGTAAAGATTACATCTATTCTTATATTTGTTACTTGTATTCATATGCACAAATTCCAATGTGGCACTATGTTTCGAATACTCTTTGCAAACAATTATTTTGAAACAGATTTCTTATAAATCATTAATCACAATTAACATTAATCTTTGTTAATTTTGAATATGTTAATTATTTCATTCAATTTTATGTAAAAATTTATTATCCAAAATGATTATTTACTTCATAAATCATCATTTGATTATTCACTTAGATGTAATTGTAGAATTTCAACTTATGCATATAAAATTGCAACTTATGCATGTAATTGTTGTTTTTTATCCAATTTTTTTAAATAATCAACATTTGCATAAGCAGTAATTTGACATGATATCCAATTCATAGCTTTCAACTGTATTTTTCTTGGATTTGACATGATTATGCTTGTTTTCTTTATGAAAAAGAGCAATGTAAAATCCTAGTGCAAATAATAAAATAACAACATGAGAGTTTCACATACTTGGCACATAAAATTTGTACATTACATATTATACACTTTATTTTACTTTATCAAATGTTGTTGAAAGCCTGAAATGAAGAGCTACAGGATTAATTTAATGTAGTTTTTCATTGTTGAATCTTGCAAGTAAGATTTCAACATAGTTCTCTTGAGTTAATCATAGTTCTTAGTTCTTCATTTTTCTTACCATTGTCTTTAGATTCTTCTTGCTGTATCAAGGTCTTATATTTAAAACTTAGAAATAGGTAAAGCTTTAAATCTATAAACATCAAATCTATTCCTAGGCGCAATAAGCGTATCATCTTCATAAAATATTGAAGTTAATAAACTCATTATTCACCTTTTTCATGAATGCACAAACATCAAACACATGAAATTATATTGTGATATTATATTTAAATATTCAAGCAAATTTTCAAAGTTTTAAATGTTTGGAAATAAATTGTAGTATAATAAAAATTAAAATTGCACATTCTTTTTTATGCATCTTTCAAATCTCAAATCCTTTAACATGAATTTACAAGTATAATATATAATTTTCTTGTTCATATTATATATTGAAATTTATTGACTGATATAAGCAATATGAATATTGAATATCATTAAGAAAACTCGGTTAATAAATCAAAAAATTCAAAAACTTAGTAAATATATAAATAAAAAATTATATTTTTAAAAGATATTTGCTAATTTTCTATAAATTTTATATTTTTTGCCCTATATATTGCTGTTTATCATCTCATGCAGTTTATTGATATATTTCCAGTTTTTATTCCTAGCATACTTAAAAATACAATATATTAGTATGAATTTGGCAACAATTTTCCAAGATTAATCGTCCATTGATGTATGTATGATTTAAATTCGTAAATACGTATTCTTGTCTTTCGTATAATTGCAGAATAATTTGATGAAATTTATTGACTTCACTGACATGAAAGTAGGCGGCTTCTACCCATTACACAAAATGCAAATGAATCTAGAATGCCCCATCTCTTTAGTCGAGTCGAGTGTTGTTTGTATTGTGTTTTTTAGCCTTTTGACCCTTTGGGTCCCACGGGCTTGATCTATTTACCATTTACCATTAATTATTTGATTTTCAAAATACTTCCTATTCTATGGTAGTCTATCCCTAGTACATTACACTCATTACCAAAAAGTTCGTGGGAGTTTAAAATGTACATTTTGATACCGATTTATAGAATAGTCATTTCATTTGATGAAATATTTGAAAATCAAAATCTTGCAATTATTGATGAATTTTACTTTAAAGATTTATCTAACAACATTATCCTCTTATTGCTTTTTTTGATGCCTGGAATTATTTTCAGCCTAAAAAAGTTATCACGTGTAGTTGATATTGTATTTCTATGAGATCTTTGATCGTACTGAAACCCAATCATGAGATCATTGACATGATGATTGAAGATTATTTTATGGCAAGCATTAGACGTGGTAAAGTTTCATTCTAAATTGTTCCATGTCCAGCCCTAAGGCGAACAGTGCAATGATCAATCAGAAACGCACCAAAGCCGGAGTGACCTACCACTCTCTCCGGATTAATTTACTCCGTTCAGACTTCAGGCCTGGAGTTCTTCTTTATTTTCATGCAGCCAATGCAGGACCAAAGCTCTTGCCCTGCCCGGTCTGGCCTGACCTTCCCTGCCTTCCCTGCCCCTACAGGATATCGAGGTGCCCTCAGAAGGAAGAGGGGATGGGGGGCACCGAGTAATACGGCCTGGCAAGACCCCAGCCTCAAAAGACAACCAGAGGAGTGACAGATCGAGAGGCCCCGGCCTTGAAAGATCACCGGCTATTGGTCGACTGACCGACGGACCGACCGGCCGAGCTCCCGCGGCGGGCGGGCGGGCAGAGCTGGGAAATGACGGACCGGGCCTTGCGAATGCCGCGACGGGGAGGGGAGGGAATACTTTAAGTGACAGAAGATCAGCGCAGAATATGATTAAAGCAAATCAGAGCGGAGCGGCGACGGAGAGTGGTTCACGGAGGAGTCGGAGCGAGGGAGTGCGGGACGAACCTTTCGCGGAGGCTCAGAGTGTCGGAGGGCGGAGGTGCTTCGGGCTTCTGGCGCCGCTGCGCGTTTTCCATTCGCTGCGCCGGATGGAAAACGATGTCGATCCGCTCGCCGGTACCGGGTTTGTCCAGAAACCAGTTGTACGCTGGCTGCGCAGCGCAGCGCAGCGAGCAGCGAGCAGAGAGCAGCAGCAGCAGCAGAATGTCTCTGTAATGGCGCAGTGATTCCGCAGAATCATACGTGACAGCTTTCATTGGACAGCTCTTGTGACGTGTTCTGCCCCCGGCTGTACCATCGATGCCAGCTTATAGTGCTTATCGGCGAACCAGCGCTGCGACTCCTCTCCCCCTCCCCTCCGCTCCGCTCCACGCGAAGCCCTCTGCCGGTAGGGAAACGTGAATGAATGCCCGAGGCGTGGGATGTGCGGGCTGCAATTTCCAGCTGCCTCGTCGGCCTCTGCGATCATCCCAATTGTTGCGAGCACCAGCACCAACAGCACCACCATCAAAACCCCATGTCGAGTGTGATCGTCGGCCCGCCCGAGGGATTCTTCGAGGGTCTTCGATGTGTTGCAGTAGTCGATAGGACTGTCGTTCCCTTATGATTTGACGAAGAACCGTCGAGCCGAGGCGGGCGGGCTTCTGAGCGTCATAGAGCGAGGCGAGGTGCAGGATCGCAGTGCTACGGGGTGCAGCGAGGAGCGGAGCGGGGCGGGACGTCGAATTGTGCCATGGCGGACCATCTACTTCAGGAAGTGGAGATGCACGGCCAAAAGCCCGTGAATGGAGGGGCTCCCTTGCCCCAAGTGCTAGCCCCTGCGGACGGGAGAGAGGTGACGGTCGACGAGCTGGTCGACTGGATTAAGCGCGACAAGAGCTGGATCGAGGAGCACCTGCTTCACAGCGGCGCGGTGCTCATCCGCGGGTGCGATGTCAAAGATGCCAAGGACTTCAACACCGTCGTCGAGGCTTTCGGGTACGAAGAGCGGCTGTACAACGGAGGCCTGGCGCCACGAACGCAAGTAATCGGCAGAATCTACACTGCCAACGAAGCTCCTCCCCATGTCTACATACCTTTCCACCACGAGATGGCACAGGTTACGTCTCCAAGCTCGCTCCACTTCTGATCTCGTTTCAAGTCTCAGTGACGAATGATTTTCATCGGAGTTTCTCAGTGGGTCATCGATGCAATTACAGGATCCGATAGAGCAGATTTCTGAATCCATTGCAGTTCTTTCCGAGCGTTTATAATCTGTTAGGGAATTTATTCTGTTTACCATCCGGTCGAGTGTTGAAGTCTCATCCACATGCTTGATCATCGACTTCTCTCTCTATCTCTGACAATTTGAGCACTCTGGTGCCGTGAATGAGGCAGCTACCCACAGCTCCCTCGAAGTTGTTCTTCTTCTGTGAGCTGGCACCGACGAAAGGTGGCGAGACTCCTCTGTTATGGAGCAATTCCGTCGTGAGACGCTTGCAGCAGGAGTGCCCTGATTTCCTGCAGCAGCTGGACGAGAAGGGTTTAATATACCAATTGTACTTCGGGGGCGAAGATTTATCTGAGTCTTACATCCAACGCAGCTGGAAAACTCTGTACAAAGTGAACGACCGAGAAGAACTCGAGGACAAGTGAGTTGTCTGATGTCGTATGTCTGAACCTCAACGATAACTGAGGATTCGATTTTCGTAGCATGCCTGCTTCTGCATATGTTGAAGCCTACGCTGTCCTTCTTATATTACAACACAGCTGATAAGAGTTAACGTCCAGATCGCCAGGTTAAGTTTTCTCCTGCAGTAGCCCTTAATTCTGTTCATCGGAAGTTTCGAGAATCCAGCCAAAGAGAAGAATGTTGTGAAGTACGATGTCTGATCTTGAAACGAACGTGGTAAAAGACATGCATCTAAAGTTTGCAACCAACCTTTGTCGTCGCATTTCAGGCTTGCAAAGATGGGCGGAGACTCGAGAGTTGAATGGATTGAAGGACATGGAGTCAAGACGATCTACGGTCCACTCCCTGCCTTGAAGTGGGACGAGCAGCGGCAACAGAATGTTTTTTTCAACTACATGGTAATGAAGTACTTCACCGAGTACCCTGTCCTCGAGTGTGACAAGGAGGTAGCGGCTTTCGACAACGTAATGTTCGGAGATGGCTCACCACTCCCGCGAGAGCAGGTTTTGGACTGTCAGAGAATCATGGCCGAGGAAATGGTCGAGTTCAAGTGGGAACGAGGAGACGTGATACTCATTGACAATGTGGCTGTGCAACATTCTAAAAATCCCTGCTTCTCTCCTCGTCGGATCCTGGCTTCTCTTGTAGTGTAAATATCGAGTACCGAGTCTATAACTCGATCTACTCCAGTACGAGAAGTGACCTGTAAAATGGTGTAGCTAGATTATGGTACTGTATCTTCGAGAGGATGTAAAGGGCAACCATCATGTTAACTTACTGTTTTCCCAGTCGTGAAAGGTCTTGGATCTTTCACTACCCTAAGCTGCAGCAAACATATTCTCAACAAGCGCTGCCGCAGTATCGAATAGAGCGATATTCTAGGCCGACAATTTTGAAGCCCAAACAGAGCAAGATAGTCCAGGATTTCCATACTTCAGATATGTGCTTTCAGACTTGCCTAAACCACAGGTTTCTGGCAATCAGGGCTGAAATCAGACTGCTGCATATGGCATGTACATACCGGACAACGTATGCAGTTGATCATTGCAAGAAGCTGCTGTATTTTTTGTATTTTAGGAGTCTGATACTAAGAAAAACTGCCAAATATATGGTAAATTTTAAGACGAAATCTTGCCGGCTCGTTCACTTGCTGATAGCACCAGATCCCCATCATCTGTGGATGTCTCCGTTGATATATTACCACCGCATGTCCAGTTATGGACGTAGTATCTGTCAACTGTGTGAAGATTATGCTGAAATGTGCATGTCATGATTAAGCTCCGACAGATCTCAAGCTCCCTTTGCGACGAAGTACTCCACTTATCTTCCGCAGTGCTTCCAAGGTAGTGTCGGGGAACTTTACGGAACGACCACAGGTACACAACTACTCAATCCAGAACGGGAACTGTGATATGCTGCACTGCCACATTCAGTGAAGATTTACTTCGGCAGAGATCGGAGTCCTCCATCGATGCTGTTGTGGTCTACGAGGGAATTCTTTTTTTAGCCTTTTCAGTTCAGTGCAATTTAATATTGCATTGATTCTCCAGAAAGTGTAAAAATGACATCAACTCCAAACGACACTGTGGGAAAAGAGTTCAAAGTAAAATTCGTTGATCAGGTTCCGAAAGTGGTGAGTCATGTGAATCTGGAAGACCGATTTAAAAATTTTTCTTGATAGAAAAGAGGGAGAGGGAGCCGGTACCAGAAGGAAGGGACAATCTTAATTCAGAATATAATAAGGAGTGACTTCCTTATTTTGTGAAATACCTCGTATTACGAAGCCGAGCGAGACTTTGTTAAACAAACATATTTCTCCAATAAACGCAGGTTCCTGGCCCGTTCTAACCTACATGATCTATACTTCGAAAAACCAAAATAATCATTTGTGATGCGTCCTCCATCGAGCCTCCCTATGATCTGTCGAACTGCAAGTAAAGCTGGTCATGTGATGTCCATAACATTTGCGCTAGTGCATTCCATTTCCTGATGTGGCAGAGTTTGTGCAACGTGCTTCGGCTTGCTGATATGGTGTTTCGTCAGGAAGCCAAAAGGTAATCCTGAGGTTCTGTACGCCGATACGTGGTACTTTGAAAAAATTTCGACTTACTTGTTGAAAGTGGACCTGTGGTAGTGCAGAGGAGGTCTGATCAGCTCTTAGTCACAGAGCACTTGCGTAGGAGCACCTACCCTTCGATCGAACTGAGAACCTCTGTCTTGGCCGACTGTAATAATGTTCAACTAGCATATTAGCTTGTGGGCTGTCTTCGTACAAGAGATAGCAGGGTGGTGTGGCAGACAACCAGAGCCCATTGACGAACAGAAACCTTTCGTTACTGAAACAGCAAGAACGGCTCACAATTGCAACAAAATATCTTATACACTTTTGGTACACTGCGTAAACTTTTTAAACAGTGCCCCTTCGTCCTCGAACGCGTCATTGCCTCCAGTTTCAGGAGCTTTGCAGTGGATTGATTTGCAGTTTTAACTAGTCACTATTGAGCTCTTTCGTTTTCTTGGGTGGCTAGGAGCTCTCAAGAGGTGATTGAGTGTGAGTTCACCACACGCATCATTGACGGGAGTAAGAATCCTTCCGTCACAGCTTGAAGTTCCCTTTTGTACGTACGGGATATGCAAGTCTAGAGAGCAAGTGAGCCAAACTTTTTAGGATCGTAGAGATGCCCAGATCGCTGTAATGAATTGGAGTTGTGAGCTTATCAGCTTAATCTTCCCGTTAAAGTGCAGTGATATCAATCTCTTTGGCTACTATGGATCAGACTAGGAGCATATTGTGGGTATTTTGAGGTTTTATGTCCCGCTTCAAGCGTGGAGAACAGAGTGGAGATTTTGGTATCAATCCCTGAGTGAAATCGGAATTTTACGACAGATCTCAATGTGTTTTTCTGAAACACGATTGTCCACAATGCGGTGAGTATAATTGCTTCAACTGACTGGTAACCATTGATTATCAAAGAGTCAAGCCAAATCTAAGACGGAGGTGGAGGCCGTCGTTCTCTGGATGATGGGGATTCACAAGTTGTTTTTCTCCCCAATAGCTGCCTGGGCACTTTTTCGAGATCATCTGACTGCTTCCATAAGATCCATGACTTCAGGTAAAATCAATGACGCAAAAAGGTAGAGTAGATGAGTGCCAACAACCGGTCTCACTCGACGACATCACTCCCAACTGTAGCACCATCGACTTCCCAACTTTCGCACTCCCTCGTCGCCTAAGACGTCGAACAAAAAAATCATCCACTCCGTATCGTACTCTTTTTCAAACAACCTTTATGGACATTTTATCCATCACTGTGTTACTTCGTCTACTTTGTTCCAAATCATTCATTTTCTTACAAATGTTAATATCAATGTACTCAAGACATTCGAATAGCTTTGATTAATTTCTTCACCTTCAACAGTTGTTAATGGTTTGTTCCATGCAATTGCTTAATATTATTAAGACTTATTTATTAACTAATAAAGACACTAATTATTTATAGAATACAAACTGAATATTTCACTTTTGAAACTCGTGTTTTATCTATCTGTGTACTACAGAAGATCTTGTCAGATAAATTTTTTATTCATCATATTAATGCTCTAGATCTATTCAACTTTTTGCATCCTTATCACCCTTAAATTTTAATAATATCCAAAATATATCTTGAGATCTCATCAAAGTCATAATTTACAAACTAATTCCACCTTGTGATTTAAAAGTATTTTACAATGAACTACTTCTCATCAATTACGAAGATATTGTTTCATATCAATGAGTCATCATGTTGTGGCCTATTCGTTGTGTATGTGTGACAAGATGAGACTCTCACAGTTATAACGAAATTTATCATCAGAAAAATTTAAAATTACCTTTTTATATTTATATTTTTTATCTCTCTATTATCATAAAATATGAACGTTTTTTATGCTAAGAAATTAAATACATATATAAAATTTAAAATTATCATTAAGCAATGATTGAAATTTTAATCGATGCACATAGACTTACTGACTCGTAAATTTTTAACTTCAAATTTTCTTGTATATGTAATCCAATATTCATATTTGCTGTGATGATAATTGGATAGTTGATTATTTCAAATCGAAAATACTATGTTGCAAGATATTTATTAACATAATGAATATATATAAAAAATTGCATGTTTTAATTTAAATTTCATAATTTGTATCAAATTTGCATCATGCACTTTTTAATCAAGTAATTATATTACTTTACTTTCCAACCAGAATTTTTTTTTCAAACTTTCATAATTTATGAATTTCATTAAGTCAAAACATACATTTTTATCACGTAAGAAAATATTTTCCTTTTGTTATTTATTCATATTTTCATGTTAAATTTATTTGAAAGAATTTTATTTGTATTTTCGACAACTGAGTTATAAATATTCATTTGAAAAATAATTATATTTTATCATTCGTAAATTATTAAAATTAAATAGGTAATTTAATGAAACAAAATTCAAACAAATTTTCAGCTCTATAATTCTTTCCACCCTTATCATAAAACAAGCAAATAACATGAATTCTATAATCCATTTTTTTTTGGCATTATATGAATGTAGTTCATATATTTTGAACGAACACATGAATCACATTGAATGAAAGGTTTGATAAAAATTAAATTCAACCAAAATAGTAAAATATATATTTTCTTCTTTGAAAACATCAATAATTTTCCATGATGTGTAGTTTTTTCAATCAGTTTTTTTTGGTGGTGGAAAGCATTCACTACACGAGACTGGTTCATTGTAAGTAAAATTGAGAGTATTCAGTTACGTGATTTATTATTACAAATCTGTAAATTTTTCTGGAAACAACAAATCCATTTACATTGATTCCTCTATATATTAATGTAAATGGCCTTCATCATAAGAAATTTTGTTCGAAATATTATTTTTTAGAAAATAAATATTAAAATTATTTATGAAATATACGGCAGTGTAAATATTCAAATCTAAATTTATGAAAATCTGATCATTTAAAAAAATTAATCTTGTTATAGTTTTCTGTCACAAGAAATATCTCCAAATATCAGATGGAGCAATTTCACTGTCATCATAATCACTCATAATTAACTAAAAATTTTTATTTAGAACTGCAGCAGGAGAGAACGGCTACAGCACAAGACATATATTTCTCATAAGTTTTGATATTTTATTCATTATATTTCCTGAAAATTCTAATCGAAATGGTATTTATGAATGGTATAATTTTATGCATATGAATGTATACATATTGTAGATAATCAAAATTTAAAATGTTAGATTCAATCCGCAATTACGGTTACATTATTTGATATCAATTATAGGAAATGTCAATTAGATTGAACGCTTTGGGGTTTTAAAACATTTTTTGTAAAATAGTCAAAGGCATGGATACTTTCAAGTTATATATTTTATAAATTTAATTATATTGATTATTATTCATTTATGAAAAAAATCTGGAATCTAAATATCAGCTGTTTTACTTATCACCTGATTTCATCTTCACAAATTTAATCGTTCATTATAGTTAAATAAATCTCAGAAAATTAATATTTTCACACATTACGCTGTGCAGAATGAATTATTGTGATACTTTGACATGCCTACATCAAAGAATCACAAAAATGCCAATATCAACATTTTCAACATCCAGATCTTCATCCAAAAAATAATTCAGTTTCATTTCCATCTGTTTGTATTTCAATTCATGTGGTTTTTTATACACATCTCTACTAAATCAACATTTATACATATGTTTACATCTAGATTTGAAATTATTGACTTGAACTTATGTTGATTTTTGAATCCTAATTTTCTTCAACTTAGAATTTAGATAATCAAATGAGAATTATTTATATAATATAATAATTGTATCAAAATAATTACTATAAAAATTCCTAACATATTGAATTCATGTCAACAAAATTTTAAGTATACAAATGTTACTCTGTAATAATTTTTTGTTTAATTTTTTTTAACGTGTAATAATATCCTATCAATTTTGAGGATTTGAAATTAGAAAAAAAACATATAAATTCAAAAAATATGAGTCAAAATATTATTATGTATAAAAAAAGTGAAAATTTGGAACTTGGAATGCACTTGGTGTTTGATTATACCCATAGGTTGAAATTGTAAAATATTGAAGTCCGAATGAGCGTTTTTCTGTTAGATAAGCAACAAATACATGTGTATATATGGTTCAGGCTGTGACCAGCATAATCATAGTAATGCTTCTAACATTGAGAGCCAACGTGTAGGGAAGAGGCGTGAAGCTGTAACAATATTTGAATTCAAGCCCATGGATATATAACTCTGATAAGTAAAATTTGCCGATATTGATAATGCCTGTACATTAATTTTTTTTTTGGATTTCTGGACATTTTATAATTTATTCATAAATAATGCTCAATCTAAATATGTAAGTCACGAGGACGGAACGGAGCTCAGAAAATTTTGAACACACATGTTATTGGCGTTATTATCAGATGGTGTCATTTTATTCCGTGAGTAGCAGTTTGCTTATTTATCAGGAAAGTACAATTTACTCTAAATTGTCAAGTCCTCTTAAGATTACTCGGCCCGATTACTTTTATTTGCAAATAAGATGCGTCTTGGTGAGTCCATCTGAACCGTCGATCTGAGATCTCGGCCCGACCGGAGCAAACACCCCCGACGTGATTAGGGTTCACAAGAGTGCCCGATCTATCGATGCCTTTGCCAAGCGCTTCTCCTCTCCTCCTCCTTTCTCCCACTCTCGAATTCTGTCACCTGCAACGATGCAGATCTTCGTGAAGACCCTCACGGGCAAGACTATCACGCTCGAAGTCGAGAGCAGTGATACCATCGACAATGTGAAGACCAAGATTCAGGATAAGGAGGGTATGCGCGAGATACGGATTTTCTTTTTGTAGGCTTTGAATCGTGGAAATTTTACTTCAGCACAAATTGCCTGATGTGGTCTTTCGTGATGGAGGTTTAACCTTCGACTTGTAGACGTAATTTTTTTATAGCCTATTGTGAGAGAGCTTTCTTTGATCTGTTCGCAGGAATTCCCCCGGACCAGCAGCGTCTGATCTTCGCTGGAAAGCAGCTCGAGGATGGCCGCACCTTGGCTGACTACAACATCCAGAAAGGTGAGTGAGCTCTCTGACGTCAATGCTGCTTGTGTTTTCTTCACAAGGGAATCTGCAGAGAAGATTAAACCTGAAAAGTTCCAATATCGTTATAATTCATAACATACTCCTGGACACTGCTCCGAACGGAGCAGTGCTCGAAACTGTCACGTGGAAACCAACGAGCGATGCGAAACTCAAATAGGCCATCTGTAAACTCAATTTGAGTAGATACGATAAACGATGAGGTTGACAGCTAAGTGTACAGGAACAATGGGGTTGTGGGGAGGATCCTGGTCGCAAAGGCGGCACTGCCTGTGCCCTGAAGGGTTGTGTGTCCATGTCTTTCTTAATCTACAGATGAAAAGTGTCGGTTTCATAGTTAATCAATTGGCAATCTGGAAACACGTTTTAGAAGCACCACGCAGAACTCGCATCTTCCAGTTCAAAATAGAGTCGGGGAAGGTTTATGTGCGTTTGCGTCTGCTGAGTTGGTGTCTGGACTTGAGATCCTCTTACCCTAAGTTGCGGAGCGAGATGGGCGAGAGTCGTCGGAGCTCAAATTCTTACTTCATTCTGTGGTAGAACTTCAGTGAGAGGACTACTCTGGATTTCTCGGGGTTGAATGCTATGCTCATCTGTTGATTTGGTACTGCAGAGTCTACCCTCCACCTTGTTCTGCGTCTACGAGGAGGAATTATTGAGCCCTCGCTCATGGCTCTTGCCAGGAAGTACAACCAGGACAAGATGATCTGCCGCAAGTAAGTTCCTTCTGAGTACTGTGAATCTAAACGTAGTATGTGAAGTACAACTAGTCTTCCTGTAGGAGTTTCGATTAGTTTGCCAAATAGCTTGCGAGTTTCCAACTTCCCCAATTCAGAGCGCTATTGCGCAACATCCCAGGACTGGGTGTTTACAGTCAAGTCCGCATGCCTCAGTTGTCAATGGTCATCGGGTTTTCAGGGAAACACCTTTACTGATCCCATGCCCTTTTCCAGATGCTACGCTCGTCTACACCCTAGGGCTGTCAACTGCAGGAAGAAGAAGTGTGGACACTCTAACCAGGTGAACTTTTAATCAAAGCAGCCATTTCGCTTCTCTTTTTATGGTCTTGATTACATGCACTGCCATCTTGATCATCGCTCATCGATTGTTTATTTTTGGGTGCAGTTGCGACCAAAGAAGAAAATCAAGTAGACCATCTTTCATCTGGTTTGGGAGCATGCCATCAATTTTGTCCACGAAATTCTGGAGTGTTTCTAATTGTTCAATAAAGAGACTTTATTATGAATCAAGACTTCTCCACTATCGACATGTCTAGATTATCATACTGTCTCGTCCCAATGTTCTACAATGCTGCATTCTTGTAGAGGTTATCTTCCCTGCCAAGCGTGCACAACGCGCAGGTTATCATTTAGTTGAGTCTTCCAAACATGCATGTCCTTTTTCCGGCCTCGAGTCTAATCCTAGAAATGATCGAGATCATGAAATGGAAGGTTATATCAGTCAAGCGTCGAAGCTTGAACCCTAGGATAATCAGCTGTGTGCTCCCTTAATGTGACCCAGAGGCTGTCTGCTGGGTAGTCGTTTTTTCAAAGAGTGTGAGTAAGAAAGCCCGATGGAGTGTTCATGGAACAAATTTATTTGTGGAATAGGTCAAGAGTCCAACGCATGGCTTGCTTTCTAACAGGGTACTCTCCGTTTAGATAGATTACAAGAATTACCCGGGAAGTGATACATATTTATTCCAGTTCTAATAGCTTCAGGTTACTGTATTTGACCTTGCGTACCATTCAGTATATGTCTTGTTCGAGGAATTTAGACGGAATAGGAACTCACCTACGGTGGCAGGTGATAGGTCGAAAGCAAGCGATTTCGTACGAGGTGTTGGTTACTCGCTGGGTTCTATCGTTCCTTATCGTTCTAATTTACACATTATTACTACTGTAGTCTCTGCTCTGAAAGAACGTGGTATGATGATAACTTATTTACAGTCTTATAGTAGCATTCACTTTTTGTGTAGTCACGAGCAGAGCGGGGGATCGTATACGACTTCACCGCGATTTTCGCCTAAATCGGAGTTCAACACAGACGAATAGTATCATATACCTATATTTCGAATAGGAAACGAACTAGAATATCTATTTTCATCGCGCAGAAGCATCTGATGAGACTTCAGGTCTTATCGAGAGATGTTCTTACGGACAAGCCTTCTAGGGACGGTGTTCTAATACTTAACACATTCTGTAGCCGGAGTCTTGTACTCTCCATCGAAATGCATAACACCAAACGTAGATACTAAACTGTTAGAATTGCAAACATTCTCTGACGGACTGGACCGGCAGTATGAAGTTTACAAATTCAGGCCAGAACGGGTGAAGAAACTAAGTGAGCCGAAACGAAAAATACATTCTCCACGATGCAACCATTTGCACGATCATAGCTTGATCTCAGCAGACATAGCAAGCGCAACTTACAATGATGCATATTCGTACGGTCAATGTGCAGACAACTGAGGAAAGATTGCATCCAAGGTATACCATGCAAAGTAATGACAACGTACACTACTCGTTCTATAGTGTTTCAGTACGCTGATCAGCTTGAAATCTCTTATGCGGTCTTAATTTATTTCTGCTTGTGACAGAATGGAAGTTTTATGTAACCCTGTATGATAGAATCAATGCAGATTACGAAACACACCCGTAATCACAGTCACATAGCAGAGTTTCACACGTCAGGAGAGAAACAATTACAGGTTCTGTGATAAAGACTCTTAGATTTTATCGATAGCTGATTATCACATTATCAATTATGTACGGCTTTTTGGTTTTAGAAAATACAGGTTTATCTCTAAGCTGCCACCACCATACAAAGCCCCGAGAACAAGGGGCAAGGACTGGACGCCAGAGACATTACGAGACACGGGCCAACAATAAGGATCGAGATGGAGAGACATTGTATGTTTCTTATTATTGTTTACAGTTGCAAGGTTCCACTCCGATCTCCAAGAGAGATCGGAAATAGAAAATGCTAAAGTCTCTCGGAAACTCTGGAATGACGATAAAGCGCTCAAATGCACCCGGCCGACATCGGTGCCGAAGGCCAGCTCTGGTGTGCCTGTGATTGCACTAAATCTGCTACTGTCGGGATATACACGTGCTGTAGACAGATCTCAGTCTACGGCTATTCAACTCATCAGAATCCGCACAAGATTCCAGGTTGCACATCTGACAGGTCCAAAGAACTGTCTAAATGTAAGTTGTCGCTGAATCTTCACATCAGCATGATCAGAAAACGAACGAAGCTTCCGGTCGCAGAGAGTTCTCTCGACACTGTGACTCGATGGAACCTCAGACCGACCGTCCCGTGGGTCCAGCGCCGGCAGTCAATCGAGGCACCATGTACGCAGGCCTGGCACTGAAAGACTTCGCTGCGTTGTACACAGATGAACTCACTTGAGCTCCCGCTCGGCTGAAATACGCACCGTTGACGAATTTATCTCCATACGTCCGCCAGTTGCCATTGCCCTTGCCGAGATGCTTGATCGCCTGCAGTCAGTAAAATCCGAATGTGAGTGACATTACATTCATCACAATGTGTATGAATTCCAAACCACGCCAAGCCATAGCAAGTAGAAATCACGTCTGCAGCTCGTAAACGGCGTGGGATGGAGATTCCTCCGAGGAGTACCCGCTTCACTCTCGAGGCCTTGAAATAGTTCCCCTCGCTGTTGACCGTGGGGCTCGAGCTCCCGCCGATTGCATACTGAGTCCAGCCGGAGTAGAAGTTGTTGAAGACGTGAAATGTTCCAAAGCGACATCTGGACATGGAATCGATCACCAAATCAATCAGTGGCGGCGAAAGAAGGAGGAGGAGGAGGAGGAGTCGATGACACGAGGGGAGGTGCAATGCAGTATGCACAGGGGACACAAACGAGCTTTTACCGCGGCATTCGTTGACAGAGCTTGGGGCCGAAGTAGTTCATGGCGACGGTGATCTGCATGATCTTGTCCTCGCTGCCGTCGCCGTCGCTGGCACCGAACAGCATGACTTTGTCGTGGTTGCTGAAGTAGTTGTTGGAGATGGTGATCAGATCGGAGCCATGAATGGCGTCGATGAGGCCGTCGGTGCATTTGGAGAAGGAGTTGTGGTCGATCCAGATGTTGCTGGACGACATAATGCTGATGCCGTCGCCGTCCGTCTTCCCGCGCTTGCCCACGTGAGACTCGGAGCTGCGAACTCTCGCAGGGCCCGTGGATTTGCAATCGTGAATGTGGACTCCGTGAATGATGATATGGTGCACTCGCTGCAGAGTGATGCAGGCGCCGTAGGCGATGTGGACATTGACTCCACGCCCGTCGATCGTTTTGTAGCTCGTCATGATAAGCTCCTGCTTCAATCGAATCGTCATGTCTCGAGCGAAGATGATCCACATCGGCCTCTCCTGGACGACGGCCCATCGAAGAGTGCCAGGACGTGGGTCCGTGGGATTATCATTTCCAGGGTCGGTCACGATGTATGTCGCTCCATTGAGACCCCCGATGGCGTTTCTGCCATATCCTATGGCGCAGAATGCAAGGTTCTGTCGATGCTTGTGCCACTGGGAGTCACATTGCCAGCAGTCGTCCATGGGATTCCCTTTGCCACATCGCGATGGCTTCTTCTTGGCCGCGAGTTCTAGAGCATTGTCCGACGTGTTAGTCTCGAGGGAAAAGTCGGAGACTTTGAGGAGGTCGAACACGGGGCTCGAGCTCGTGCTCGTCGCTGTGCCTTCCAGATCGTCGTTCAGCAGAGTGACTGTGAATTCGGGGTCAGAAGTCTCGAGATCCTTCGGGTCCACGAGGTCCGTCGAGTTGTAGTCCATGACATCGTCCAACTCGACGTCGATATCGATCGGTTGTGCAGAGACGGCTGCGCTCGAGAAGACGAGCAGCACCGTCAGGCACATGAGTGCGGCGGCCGACATGCTGCAGGGACTCATGACTGGTCTCCGACTCCTTCTTCTTCTCTCTCTGGGCAGCCCAAAGGCCTTCTTCTCAACGAGGAGAATGATTCTACGAGAGCCAGTTTGAACTGAGAATCGCCATCCGCCATTCTCCACACTTATAGACAGAAGTCCACGGACAAAGATCCGGAATCTCTCAGAAGAGGGTAATCGAAACTTGATTGTGTAAGTCTGTCAGATGTAACAATTTCCTGGTTCACAATCTCGAGTTTAACCTTTGGCACAAATGTGAAATGAGTCTAAGGGGATTGGAAGGAGAAACAAATTCATCGTAGTTCTCTGCTCAGGGCCAGAGAAAGTCCGAAATTCCCGCAGTAAAAACGACAGTTCGTGAGAAGTTGTTGAGTGTTGTGTAATTTTAACCTCCGATTTCGGACGATGAGCAGGAAGTACCAGTCGATCGTGGGGTGCGACGTGAGATTACGATAGTGTCGAGAATGAGGGCGTTCGTAAGATTTGAAGGCGCAGTATATGCAGGTATCGTCGATGGCGTCTGCGGCCTCATCGTCAAGCAGGCCGGAAGGCCAGTGGCATGCCTTGCACACCTGGACGTGCAGGGAGAAAGCTAAAAACTGCTCGACCACATCGACGTTTTGCTGAATGCCCGCCTGCATGTCCGGTCCAAATCTCCAGGCCCGACCTGCGGCGCCGTCGCTTTCACTGGCATGTTCTCGTTTCCGTTCTCTGATTGGACCCGAGCAATGCTTCTAGATTCGCACCACAGTGCTCTGGCTCCTTCGGTGCGTAGCTTGCGAATGTGCTCGAAGGCTGCCGGTGTTACAGGCAGTCGGTTGGGAGAAAGATGGCTTGAACCGCAAATTTGGCGACTGTTCGATTGTGGCCGTGGACTTTTGATTGGGTAAGTTTTTTCCTGTCAGGCTAAAATCAGCAATCACTGTGCATGGACCGACATTCTCCAGGGTTTGGTGATTCCCTTCTTCCTATGATCTCTCCACACTCACTGCGACGTAAATACACGAATTCTTCCACACGAATTGATTCTCTCTCTTAGGGGAAGCAAGCTCCAGGAGCTTCATAACGAGCTTCCTCTCTTGTCTCGCAATATTGACCACGCAGTTTGGCATTGAAAACTGCCAAATAAGTGCATCTGTGGATGGGAAGGATTTTGGGAGAAAATACGCCATGGGACTGCACTGTCTGCTGGGCTGATGATCACTCGTGGCCATGGTGGAGTGCTCAGCCTAATATGACACAAGCATGTCTGGACCACATGAATTGACATCCATGAAACAGATGACAGTAAATCAGTGTGTACTTTCCGACCAGTGCGGAGGGTGCATCGTTGCCGATGTTCGCCAGCCTAATCGGCTAATGCGGAGCAGCTTTTTCATCATGGAACAGATTTTACTGAAGGCAAGTCTGAAGTGGAGATATCGCAGCTCCGGCTTTAGATACAGCTTGGCGCGCCCTTGGAGAGGGACAGTTCCTGAATCTGACCAGTGTGGACCTGTTGATGGTCATATTCGAGGGAATGTGCTTCCTGCGGCGACTCTGCGGCGACGTTACAGCAGTCACACATGTTCTCGAGGAGCTTTACTCTTCCTGTATAAGCGTCTCCACTGCACAGCACATCTCTTGGGTAGCCGTATTTGACGAGCAAAAGGCAGGAAGGGAAAAAGTTCCAGCCCAGGGAATCACCGTCCTCCACGTCTCTATACTACAACCTTTGGCAAGCTTTGGCAAGCAAGTCGGCTTTCTTTGATCCTACCGGAATCTTCAAACATGGAACAGTATTAAACTGGGGAGTCCATTTCATTTTACAATCTTCTGTCGAGCAGTCAAACGACTGCACTCCGGCAGTGACTGCTTACCGAATTGATGTCCCTGTTGATGCAAGACGTATTAAGGCTTTGAATGTCAGAGATTTCTTGTCAGAGCTAGAATATAAGAGAGTTCGAGTCAGAGTAGAATCAAGGTAACAGCTGTTAACAATATTCCCAATGTTTATCCAGTTCACCACTTCAAATCCAGTCACCTGTTCCAGCTGATTTTAATCTGCTGATAATAAAAAATACTGGGCAGCTTGGCTCACAAGCCTGGGATCAGCTTACGAATTGATGAAAGTCGACAGCATCCTTTCTGTACATGAAAGACAACACTCGACATCTAAAATTCAGAGAAGATTGGAATGTACGCGGAACCCACAGAGTCGAAATCTCGTATACGTCGTATACTTCAGTGTACAAACTGACGAGAGCGGCACGCGATCTCCCTTTGAAAAGCACCAGATCTCATATCACGGTCCACACGTGTACCTGCAATCTTTCTTAGAGTGGAGTAGAGAGCATTCAGCGCAAGGTTAGCAGATATGTGCACTGCCTAGATATGTCTTTTCTAAGATTTCTTCAGCTACGACCTCACTGTGGAGATCATAGTAGAGCTCATAGCGGAGCAAGTTCTTTAGAAACGAGAATTCAGGGAACCAAGGAGATTAAGAAAGTGAAGAGACTTTACCAATTATATCAACTCTAATTCCATCGTTGGCATTTGAACCCACAGCTGGAAAAGAACAGCTGGAAGCTTGTTCTGAATGACATACATTCAAACATGAACAGGAGAGCTCGAGGTTTCCACGAGCCGAGAATTCTGTTAATAGAGGATGTAACAAAATGTTTCAGGTGCCATTCAACAGTAATATGAATTCGTCAGATTGCAATAGAAGCGAGGAAATGAGGACATTAAGAAAGTAAAGAGAATCTAGCATATATATCAAACTTTAATTCCATTCTTGCCATTTGAGCCCACAGATGGAATCTTGTTCTGAATTACGTACATTCAAACATGAACAGGAGAGCCTGAGGTTCCGATCAGCCTAAAGTTCTCTTAGAAAAGGATGTAACATAACGTTTCAGGTGCAAATCAACAGTAATATGAAGTGGTCAGATTGCAATAGAAACCATGCTAAAGCGTACAGATTAGGTTTGTCTTACAGTAAACGCAAGCATTCCTTATTGTAAATAGAATCCGCTGGTCTTGCTGCCGTACCTGAAACAGGGCCCACTATGTGAGAGTACTAAACATCTGATAGAGTTTTAAAGGTTCAGAACAGTATAGTGTCTTCAATTTTTTTCCGCCGTACTGTTCTGGTCAATTTAACATTGGATACAACCTACCATATAATGAACTACTTCACTTGATCCAGGCTCCTTTACGGCTGTTTTCCACGAGTAAAAGGTAGCTGTACATACAGAAACTCAGGCTCTGCACAGACCTCTTGAATACCATGTCTAACATCATCCACAGAAATGTTGAAAAATAACTGTCCTTTTGCTGAAAGAAATTACTTGACATCTTAAATTATAGAGATGATTTGAGTCTGCACGGAACATATGACTGCTTCTTGTGAGGAAATATCTCTAAATAATTTTTGCTGTTGGCTTTGTCTCAAAGGAAGTATACAGTTGTAAGTACAAATTCAACACAGATATAGTACTCTCTTGTCGAGGCCCTTTGATACATAGAGATCATAATCTTAAACTAAAATTTACTAGAGACCGAAAGGCCATGAGTAATGTATGTGGAGATTTGAGAATCCAGACACCAAAAAGCTTTCAGTTTTATGTGGTGTTTAGGAACGATACACAACTCAAGAATGCTGCACCCCACAAGACTGCCCTGATTACTAGCCAAGCAAAAAGAATGTGAAGACTGATAACTCCCCACAGTCCTTCCTTCCTTACTAGCAATATCTTTGATTCTTAATCGAACATGCCTCCTGTCGAATGCATACCCTTCTTGAAGCCTGAACGAAACCCGTTCTCACTTTCAGAAGCTTACTAACTTTGTCATTCCAGAAGAGCCTCGTCTGGACTAGTTTAGAATGATTCCATCCAGTATACGAGGCTGGGGTGTGAGTAGATGGCTTCAACCTTCCAGTTTTCAGCAGGAATCAAACAGCAAGATAGTCTTACTAACCGAGACCGGCAGATCTTAGCTGTGAGGTGTCTAAGAAGCAGCACAAACTAATGGAAGTACCAACCACCAAGGTTTTGGAGGAATTTTCTCCTCGGAACCAACACCGATGCCTTGTTTGCCAAGATAGTGTTGAGTTTTTTATACGGAAGCCGCCTTGGGTCCAGCATGGTGTCTTCGCAACTTGGTCAGTTGCCCTTCTGTCTCGAAAGTGATTGAATAGTATTGAATGTGCAAGGAAAGCTCGACTCGAGAACCCGGGTCTCTACTGAAAAGTTAATGGATATCAGGCACTTGGCAAAAGCCCGATTTCATGGTGCAAAAAGTTTCACTCCAGCAGTAGCAACAGACCATTTACAAGCGTACACCAACTATCTCTCAAAGGTACTCGATAAGTACGGTAGATAATACAAGAGAAAGACAACATTACATGAAGTCCTGCTTTGGAAAAGTCAGCTGATATTCAAATGGGAGAATTTGAAGCTTGCCATCTTCCTCTTTTGAACCACAGCCCATAAGTTCTTCCCATCTCCTCTCTTTGAATGTTAATAGTTCCTTTCAACGGAAATATGATCTGGATAAAACACTTGGGCCATTCCTACTCAAAGGTCAGAGCTTGTATTATAGATCATGCAATAGGAGTTGTATTTAGGGTCACTTATTTGTGATTCATAGCATATTTGACTGTCTGCTTGGCAATGCCTGGATGCGTATACATTTTACCAGTTGGAGAGATGATAACTTTTCACACAATGTCCTTCTTCAGGGAGAGAAGTACCTACGAATCAGGTCTTCCCCAAAATCTCCGTCCCTCTGACGAAGCGTGAGTAAATGATCATTTTGTCCTGCGCGGTTGTGAGAAATTGGGAGACGAGAACTCAATAGCTCGTCTTGAAAAAGTGGCTGATTTCTGAAAACCGGGGAACACAAATGATATGTTCAAGTGAAAGTCTTATTTTAAATGTCGCTACTGAAGGAGAACGGTGATCTCCCGGAATTCTGAATCGTATCTTATGATTTTCAAGAATAACACTTTATTACAAATCTAGTGATTTTAACCGAAGCCGCACCACGACGAAGCAAGTATTACCACCGTTGAACATCCTCCATGTTGGCCTAAAAATATATTTTTGCCATTGCCATACAGACGAAAACATTTCCCAAAAAAGATGTAGAGTATTCCGTGTTTGAAGTGACTCTGTACAGGAAAAACACACCTTTTACACTTTCTCAGATTTCAGATCCATCGAAAGCATGCGTGATTATTCCTGCTTGACTGATGACGTCAGCATTCATGTGCTCACATAGACAACTGAAGTACAACGGCATATGGTTTTCCGATGTTGAAGAATAAATGCATTCTTCACTAATTTTCGTATGCGCACAAAATAGATGTTGATCAAAACAGTACAATCAACAATGACGGAACGAATGAGAGTAAATTGTTTGTTTTTCATGAATTAAATAATTGACTAGAGAAGTGTACATTTCAGTTGAAAAATTCCTAAAAATTGTAAAAAAATAGAATCAACATATTGGACTACTCTCCGATGTCGAGAACTGATAATAAGCAAATGCCAGATATTATCAGCAGTGCATGGATTGACAATGTTGAGAACAAGCAAAAAGCCGTACAAAGCAAAGCACGCCAAAGAGTACAAGAGGTGTGACATTGAGAGTGCATGCTTTCATGATATGTATAGTGTACAGCCCCTCCCCTCGACATACATTCCTGGGCTTTGACTATGTGCTCGAGTTGTTCTAGCCTCTCTTACATTGCTCTAGCCTCTATTGCTTTGCAACTACTGGATCAACAGTGCATGGATTAGTATGTTGAGAATAAGCAATAAGTCGTACAAAGCAAAGCACGCCAAAATCTAAAAGATGTGCGAAAATGAGAGTGCATGCTTTCATGATACGTATCTCTTACAGGCCCTCCCCTCGACAGACATTCCTGCGCTTTGACTATGTGCTCGGGTTGTTCTAGCCTCTATTGCGTTGCAACTACTAAATTCAAAGTTTGATTCAAATTTGTTTGACATTCAATCTGCTAATCCATGCGTGGTTCTTTCTTTCTGCCTTGTAAGAGGTCACATTTCAGATAGCCTAATTCCTACTACCAACAATCTCGTGGAGCTACATTTCCATGTCACATGTGAATTATTCATTACATGTCTCCCCATAAACTTGGTGGCTCGAATCTCGAAGCTATCATAGTCAAACCCGCAGAGCCAAAAATCTAGCTAAGCTAAACAGTCCAAGAGCGCGCCGGATGAATTTTGTCGGTGGTAGGATTCAAGGATTTTAGATTGTGCATTATTATTATTCAAGGAGACCTTCAGCAGAAAAGTAAAACGAAGTCCATTATCCACCGACAGATCCTGATCGGATCCAACCTCAGCAAGAAACCGGATCTGAACATTAAGCTGCAAACCTCGAACCGGCTTCCGAGCATAGAATCATCACAAACGTCTGTTAATCAGGTCAACGAATTTTTCTGCATCATCTAATCATATTATACTCTTCATGATTTTTGCTTCACCAAAAATTGGTCAGATTCAATATTATGACCCATCTCTTGGTTTTGTCCAAATATTGAACAACAGTGGGTTCACTATTGTTTATCATTTTGAATGAATTATCATGAATCATCTGTCAATATTATTGAGATAATTCTAATTATTTAGAGCTTCGACTTCACTTATCATGAAATCTCTCTGGGACTGGGAATCAGAATTGGCTTGCGGACTGCAAAACACGTCATTCCTATCGACACACTTCACAATTCCAGCCTACCCTCAAATTTGAGTGCAGCGCATGAAGTCTTGATTGAAAAGCACACCTCCTTCATATATCAATCAATCAATCAAATTGCTTTCATAGGATCGTTGGAGAGCCTGTAGATGTGAAAAATTTAGGTAGCAGAGGTATTAATGGTAGCTGGTATATCCAGATTGCTGATCACTGTAGAAGTCGAAGCAACAATGAGCCAATCTCTCTAATAAACGACGGAGAAGGTTTCTCAAGGCGGAGGTGACCATTAGTGCATGCCAGCGACGATTTTCTACTTCGACCATCTGCATTGAGGGCGAATATCCTCAGTCCATACTCCGATCACATAGCCCCGCCAACAACCATCTTATTTCAATGCTTTGACAGTCAGATCATCATCATCATCATGACCAGAAGCTAACCCCAAAATAGCGAGACTGTCACCGATTGAAATCGTGGATCAGAAATTCCCGGTGACTACTAAATACCACCAAATTCGAGTGGACCTTGAACCTGAAGCTGTAAGGTGGGATTGATGGTGCAAGAAAATATATGCAGACTCTGAGGAGGTTAGGCTCCTGCATGTATTTTGTTGCTAGGTTAGGTGCGTACACTCCCAACCCTCGGGGATCTATTTAAGCGAGAGATTAAGGCATATTCAGCAGCATCCACCAGCTAACTCTTACATCAATCACTCCCTCCTTCGGCTTCCGATTATGCAGAAGTCGAAGATGAAAAAAGACTGAGAGCAGTAAGTGGTGGAGGCAAAGGATTCTGCATTACCGATCGAAGATGTAGAGCCAAAATTTGACACTACTATTAGGGGAGAGACTCTGCAACTTACGCCGAAGTTATGGAGGAAAAAGTTTGACTTTGGTACAGGTCGAGGTAAGGGAGAGAGTATTTGCATTCTGTAGAAACATGAGATCTAAACACTCGAAGTGCTGGGCGTGTAACAGGAGGCCACTAAACTTCTAATTTCAGAAGAAGTTTAGTGCACAGGTGTTCAGTTTAGTTTAGTTTAGTTCAGTTCAGTTTCTGATATTTGGTGGGGCGAAGGTGATCGAGATGGCCGTTCAAATGAAGTCAGTTATGCTTTGGTTGCTTCTCTTGGGACTGGCACACACTATGACGCTCCTACCTTCTGCATCGGCAAGAGCGATGCGAGAGTTGGATGCCGGCTCAGATGTGTCCCCTCACCTTCGAGGTGAGAGGATTATGACGTCAAGGAGACCATTATTTTTTCTTCCTGGCGCTCTACCATGTGCCATCTACCATTGCTTGAAGCCTGCTTTTACTACCGGATCTCACCCTCCACCCACTCCTCCTCCTCCTCCCAGGAATTCTTTCAAACATCCGCTGCCTAAGCTTCCCCAGATTCCATCAGCAGCTCGTTCTCCTCCTCCCCCTCCTGCAAGAAAGTTCGTGCCCATATTTCCCACTTTTTCATTTCCCAATATCACTGACATTTTCAAAAAGCTACCAAAAGTTCCCCGGTACCCATCAAGAGGTAGTTCTCCTCCGACGTCTGTCACGGTTTCACCGAAATCTGCACCAGAAAATGAAATGGGTCCTCCCCCTCCTGCTTCTACAAGTTCATCGATTTCCCCTCTTACTGCAGTTGCACAGGGCACCCCTTTGCAGGCCAGCGGTTCAACTCCAAAACCAAGGACTCCACCGAGTGAGACTTCGACTAGTAGACAGTTCGAGGCACCAGTTGGAAGTCCTGCTGCATCCGCATCCGCTTCACCTTCTCCTCCCACTGCAGCGCAGGCACCAGTTGAAAGCTCTCCTCCATCTCAACCTGCCGCCGAGTCACCACGTTCTCCGTCTCCGTCGAAACCGTCAGTAGAAAGCACTACCACTCCTACTTCTTCTCCTCCTCCTGGACCTGAAGCATCATCTCCTCCGCCCCCATCGGAGCCAGCAACTGCAAGTTCTCCCCCTCCTCCTGTAAGTCGGTTAACATCTTCTTCAACCTCACCCAAGCCAGCAACTGCACCTCCTCCTCCTCCCCCATCAGAGCCAGCAACTGCAAGTTCTCCCCCTCCTCCTGTAAGTCGGTTAACATCTTCTTCAACCCCACCCAAGTCAGCAACTGCATCTCCTCCTCCTCCTCCCCCATCAGAGCCAGCAACTGCAAGTTCTCCCCCTCCTCCCGTAAGTCAGTTAACATCTCCTTCAACCCCACCCAAGCCAGCAACTGCACCTCCTCCTCCCCCGCCATCAGAGCCAGCAACTGCAAGTTCTCCCCCTCCTCCTGTAAGTCGGTTAACATCTTCTTCAACCCCACCCGAGCCAGCGACTGCATCTCCTCCTCCTCCCCCATCAGAGCCAGCAACTGCAAGTTCTCCCCCTCCTCCTGTAAGTCGGTTAACATCTTCTTCAACCCCACCCGAGCCAGCAACTGCATCTCCTCCTCCTCCCCCATCAGAGCCAGCAACTGCAAGTTCTCCCCCTCCTCCTGTAAGTCGGTTAACATCTTCTTCAACCCCACCCGAGCCAGCAACTGCATCTCCTCCTCCTCCCCCATCAGAGCCAGCAACTGCAAGTTCTCCCCCTCCTCCTGTAAGTCGGTTAACATCTCCTTCAACCCCACCCGAGCCAGCAACTGCACCTCCTCCTCCCCCGCCATCAGAGCCAGCAACTGCAAGTTCTCCCCCTCCTCCTGTAAGTCGGTTAACATCTCCTTCAACCCCACCCCAGCCAGCAACTGCATCTCCTCCTCCTCCCCCATCAGAGCCAGCAACTGCAAGTTCTCCCCCTCCTCCTGTAAGTCGGTTAACATCTTCTTCAACCCCACCCAAGCCAGCAACTGCATCTCCTCCTCCTCCCCCATCAGAGCCAGCAACTGCAAGTTCTCCCCCTCCTCCTGTAAGTCGGTTAACATCTTCTTCAACCCCACCCGAGCCAGCAACTGCATCTCCTCCTCCTCCCCCATCAGAGCCAGCAACTGCAAGTTCTCCCCCTCCTCCTGTAAGTCGGTTAACATCTTCTTCAACCCCACCCGAGCTAGCAACTGCATCTCCTCCTCCTCCCCCATCAGAGCCAGCAACTGCAAGTTCTCCCCCTCCTCCTGTAAGTCGGTTAACATCTTCTTCAACCCCACCCAAGCCAGCAACTGCACCTCCTCCTCCTCCGCCATCAGAGCCAGCAACTGCAAGTTCTCCCCCTCCTCCTGTAAGTCGGTTAACATCTTCTTCAACCCCACCCAAGCCAGCAACTGCACCTCCTCCTCCTCCCCCATCAGAGCCAGCAACTGCAAGCCATCCCCCTCCTCCACCATATCAATCGTGGCTGCATCCGTCTCCCTTTTTCTCACCTCCTCCACCCCCATCCAATCCAGCAACTTCACCTCCTCCTCCTCCATCACATCCAGCAACTGCAAGCCATCCCCCTCCTCCATTATATCAATCGTGGCTGCATCCGTCTCCCTTTTTCTCACCTCCTCCACCCCCATCCAAGCCAGCAACTGCACCTCCTCCTCCTCCTCCATCACACCCAGCAACTGCAAGCCATCCCCCTCCTCCACCATATCTATGGTGGCTACATCCGTCTCCCTTTTTCTCACCTCCTCCACCCCCATCCAATCCAGCAACTTCACCTCCTCCTCCTCCATCACATCCAGCAACTGCAAGCCATCCCCCTCCTCCATTATATCAATCGTGGCTGCATCCGTCTCCCTTTTTCTCACCTCCTCCACCCCCATCCAAGCCAGCAACTGCACCTCCTCCTCCTCCTCCATCACACCCAGCAACTGCAAGCCATCCCCCTCCTCCACCATATCTATGGTGGCTACATCCGTCTCCCTTTTTCTCACCTCCTCCACCCCCATCCAATCCAGCAACTTCACCTCCTCCTCCTCCATCACATCCAGCAACTGCAAGCCATCCCCCTCCTCCATTATATCAATCGTGGCTGCATCCGTCTCCCTTTTTCTCACCTCCTCCACCCCCATCCAAGCCAGCAACTGCACCTCCTCCTCCTCCTCCATCACACCCAGCAACTGCAAGCCATCCCCCTCCTCCACCATATCTATGGTGGCTACATCCGTCTCCCTTTTTCTCACCTCCTCCACCCCCATCCAATCCAGCAACTTCACCTCCTCCTCCTCCATCACATCCAGCAACTGCAAGCCATCCCCCTCCTCCATTATATCAATCGTGGCTGCATCCGTCTCCCTTTTTCTCACCTCCTCCACCCCCATCCAAGCCAGCAACTGCACCTCCTCCTCCTCCTCCATCACACCCAGCAACTGCAAGCCATCCCCCTCCTCCACCATATCTATGGTGGCTACATCCGTCTCCCTTTTTCTCACCTCCTCCACCCCCATCCAATCCAGCAACTTCACCTCCTCCTCCTCCATCACATCCAGCAACTGCAAGCCATCCCCCTCCTCCATTATATCAATCGTGGCTGCATCCGTCTCCCTTTTTCTCACCTCCTCCACCCCCATCCAAGCCAGCAACTGCACCTCCTCCTCCTCCTCCATCACACCCAGCAACTGCAAGCCATCCCCCTCCTCCACCATATCTATGGTGGCTACATCCGTCTCCCTTTTTCTCACCTCCTCCACCCCCATCCAAGCCAGAATCTGCACCTCCTCCTCCATCACACCCAGCAACTGCAAGCCATCCCCCTCCTCCATTATATCAATCGTGGCTGCATCCGTCTCCCTTTTTCTCACCTCCTCCACCCCCACATAAGCGAGCAACTGCAAGTTCCCACCCTCCACCACCGAAACACCGGTTGATAGGTGTGTTCCATGATGGCCCAGAGTTTGTTGGCTCGCCCAACCGCAAGATGGGTACATCTCAGAGCCAAGCACCCTCCGGCAACTAGAAAACGGCTACAAACGGGAGAAACGATGGTGTTTTTGAGGTGAGTTGCAGGTTTTGCAACGAAGATTGTGCTCTGGTTTTGAAGTCTTATATGGTCTTCCACTCTGCCTCAACATTGTGGATACAATTTTGGGTGTTTTCATTTCCCTTAGACTATATCTGGTTACTCTGAGATTTATTTTAATGCCTCTCTTAGCTTCAAACATGTTGAGAATGTTCAAGGATTGTCCTCTAGCTTTCATTGGAGCTTGTGATGTGCTACTCTCGTCTTTTCATCCCGAGAAGTTCTGCGCCTAAGGCTTTCTAACTTTACAGGCCTGGTTCTGTGTGTCTTCGGGATGAACGTAGATTTTGAACTTTCAGAAGGTTCACCACAGGTTTGCGAACACGAATGCCCCAGTTCGTAAGTTCCGAGGTCGATGCGAAGCGCAGAGTTGATGCCAAGAAGCTGATGACTGTGACCGAGTACCCAGGAGACGTCGAAATAATGAGTCATGAATAATGGCAGTGGATGCATGCTACGATTCGAAGAGGGTCCTAAAGACCGGGGTTGCTTGGCGAGATGAGCTAGGTGAGACGCTCTCTTGGGGTGGATGAAGATTAAGAAATAACGAGGACTTGTACTCAAACTTAGCGAAGACTTAGATTGTAGTCGGTGCAGTGAAGCATTCAGTTCAGTTCTATACTTCGGCCCTTCAGACTCGATTTGTAGGACTGCTGAGGTAAGAAGTAAGAGCTCTTGTGATAAATATTTTTATGTACATTAATCAATTTGAGGACCAGCGGAAACGGTCTCCATGACTTGTCGTCTTTAACCTTCACAAAAACTTCGGCATCTAACAGAGTACGACCATAAAAAGTCTGACGAACTAACTTCACCATTATTCAAATTATCTAGCGATAAGAATTGAGTGGGATCTTCAGGCCATCATGTGTGCACTGTATGATGTGGATATGGAATTCACAGTCGATGTACAGCGGAAGAGAAATTCACATCGACATCACAGTGGAGAAGGACAGGTGCTGTTAAAATGGAAGTATAAGAGATTGGCCTTTGCTTAGATATGCAGTACCTGGTTAGATATAGATTTTTCCTGAATAGTCTATAGATGTTACCGAATATGTATCTATTGAAGCTAGACATGAGGTGTGCAGCTAAATACTTGATTGGCAGCATTGGAATTTCAAAGGTAACTCTCTTCAGCTTTTTCACAAGCCTGAGGCTAGCTTTCAAGGAAATCTCATAGGAAGGGTACTTCCCACATATTCCATACTCTTTCAAATCCTGTCTTGCGCTGCTTGAATACAAGTTTTACGTATCTGATAGTCCGAACTTATTCTCGGTCGTTCATAGTTTTAAATTGCGAGCAGGATATAACTTTACAAAGCTTATCTATGAGGAAAATGATGAAATCCAAGTTGGTGTTCATGACTGCATCGGCATGCGTCCTCTACGATGATTATCTACTCCATTGATAGATTCGTCAAAACGTATACCTTTAAGAAGAAAGAAGGTCTAATTGAAGATACGCAATCGAGTTCCCTAGGCCAGATCATGGGACATACTTCTGTCTTTCTTTTAAGCTTCACCTCACAGATAAGATGATAGTTGGGAAGGCAATGCAGTTCCGTATCCATGTACCCTTCGGAAGTGTTCAAATCGCAATTTACTGCTGCAACGGAATGAAATGTCTCGTTTAGAAATCACCTTGTCGGCGTTTTATAAATCAGTCATGATACCGAACATTCGCTTAGTGAGCTCAGGAACTGTTAATCTTGTTTTGCTGCTACAGATGCCTCTTCTTATCCAAACGAACGCCCGCAAAATGGAACGATTAATTCGCTGGAGAAGATAATCACGAGATTCACCGTGAAGTTTCAAAGACAAGTCCAGATTTTGAGGCTGTTCAGCTTGTTTTTGATTACCTTGAGGGACCGCAAGCTGCACAGCATTGCTGGCAAAATAAATGCCATACTCTTGGCTCATGTTACACGACTATGCACAAAGCAGAGACAGCTGCAGCGGCAAATTGTGGCGACTTTGTCCAGACAACTGAAATTCATGTTCGTGCTGTAACTTCAAAAGCACTCTGCTTGATGGCATTCAGTCTTGCTGCACAATGACCATGGATGGAGTATGACGAGTGGAGGGATGGTTAGTCACCAAGTGACCAAATAAATATGATATTCCATACAGTGTGAACATCTTGTGACTCGTCGGACTGCCATATGCAATATGAATTTGCAGTCCAAATTTGGTTTAAAAGATTTGGTTGTAAGCCATGAACGGGTTTTCAAGAAAATTTAAAACAAATCCAAAAAAGCTAGTTTGAAATACAATTTCTATCGAAATTGAAAGTTTGATTCGGAGTCTAGTTATTACGAAAATTAAGTGTACACTTTAATATATATATATATATATATATATATATATATATATATGTAAATAAATCACTATTAGAAAATTTGATCTATAATTATGTCATGGAAGTGACATTTAGTAGAGGTGAAGGTGCCAACTTTGGACTACTAGTGGTGGCAATTTCCAATTTCGGAGTTGTGTTTCTTCATATCTTTGGAGATACTAGTAGCATCCTAGCAGTAAATATAAAGAGTCTTGGTACACTGTTACTCACTTTCCTCAATTTCAGTTGTAGTTAATATTCCAATTATCAAAACTACTCTAAGTTTTCTTCCTTCAAGTGTTATTGTGAGTATGGTGTGTGGATTCCTCACTCTTGATCTATTTTTATTTTCCTTTCAAGTATTCAATCAATCTAATCTTTTAACTTATAATTGAGTTGCCATCTCAATATTTGACAACAGTGAGTATCAGTCTTGTCCCCAAAAGTTTCAGGTCTTCACTTGCCGTGATCGTCTCAAAAGTACACTATGCGTACTTGTGAACCTCCAATCGTATCAAATTCAAGATATTTTATGTTTCCAACATTCACACCATGTGGTTGCCATGATGCAACAGCTACAACAAGAGTATTCTAGCATACAAAATGCCATGTAACAACTCCAAGTGCTCGCGTTCTAATCCAATATCTAGCTCTTGCAACAAATCCAATTCCACAAGCGCAATAATAATTTTGAGAAAGTTTGCCAGAGAAGTTTCACAGAGATCGGACAAAACTTTGAGATTTTATCAATCAAGTACGTTTCCAATCACACAAATATTTAACAAAAAAAGATCAGTAGGTTTCATTGATCACACTCATCAGAATCACATTCTTTTGATTTTTGTCAATTTGGAAGAGTGTATTTATAGTTTTGACATAACTTCATCAATTTTTGGAGAAATTTAGCAAGACTTTTGGAGAAAAAATCAAATCCTTATAACAACAACAAAATTTTAAACACTACAACAACAATCATGCCCAGCTTCATCATAGGTTTCAAAATTTCAACAACTTGCATGTGATCTTGATTCGAGCGATATGACTCTCCTCACGATCATAAATACTTTGTAATGATATCAAAAACTTTTGTTGCTGAACTTGTGCAAATCAACTACTTTATTAGTTGCCATTACTCAAGCAATCGACCATGATAACCAACTATCTCAGCAGCAAAAATTGTTTTTTATTTCATATTCAATAGATTGCATCGCTTTGGTCTGTCAAACATCTTCAAGCACTTCAAACTCAAAGCTCATGCAAATTTACACTTCAAGAGTTAGCAAGTTAATAGATTAAGAGAAAAAATGACGTTGCAAGGAGCATTTATATTTATATTGTGCAAAAAAGTACCACATCTTAAACGATAGCATTATGAAACCTCATTGTTCAAATGCGCACAAATTTTGGTAGAATTTAAGGAATTCTGAACCAAGATATGAGAAAATTGTGTTAGAAAACATCGGCATTTGTAATGACAGACAAATATCAAAATGAAGTATAATGGTACAAATCCGATACCACAAGGATAGAAACAACAACAAAAATCACGATTTGTCACGTATTAACATTCTATTGATAAGTTTTACTTCTTAGGCCCATGTCACTTCCAGAAGACATTGCTCAATTACGGCCGAAGATCCGAATAGCAGAGTATGATCACCATCACGACCTGAAACTTGTCCAATTAACACCTATGGGAATTGCATGCGATCCCATATTCAGATTTCACGGGGAAAACCTCCTAGCATTGCGTACATCCGACTTACTAACCCGAATACCCAGATCCGAATTTGCTTAAATCTTGAGGAATCTCCGGCTACTCAAAACATTTAGGCTGGACACTCACAACTCACGATGAGGTAACTTTGTCAAACAGGAGCACACAAACACGCAGTGGATACAGATTCACAGTCATGACAAGCCAAATGACAGAAAAGCCCCCCAAGGAAAAAGCCTTGGGTCTCTTTATTCACAATGGTGGCCTAGGAATCTCAACCGCCTGAGGCGAACTGCTCTCACGTGCGGTGTCATCCGACGTAGCGGTTTGAACGTCGTCTGAGCTTACGTCTGCACCTAATCTAGGTGCAGACGTAAAACGTTTACAATCTCTATCTCTACATTCTCCCGCGCCTCTACAAATCCCTCAGAAAAAGAATTAACTAACTCTACTATCTACTTGTGTTCCGCGGATCCGCTGGCATTAGTACTCATCAAACGTCGTTCCAGCGAATCTAGCTTCAACCACTTTACCAATTGCAATCTCCACATTGCAGATCCGCGCATGCACTTCTCAACTCGTCGCTTGTCTCATCCCGCAAGTGACGGTATGCTGCCTCTGACTTCTCCATTCTACTTTGCGACTCTTTCGATCTCATGACAACCTTCCCCAACTGCTCCTGCAACCGCTGCTGTTCCGATTCGCCCTTTAATCTACATTCAACCGCCAAAGATCTGGCCGACTCACAATCCGCCAATTTCTTGGCCCAATCCGTTAATTTCTCTACGTGCTTCCGGATTTCCTCCGCCAGATTCGTTGTTAGCTCCTCCGCGCGTTTGAATTCCTTGTCACGCTCATTCGTGAGCTCCACAATTGTACTGCAAAATTCTTCTTTTGCTGTCTTTGCCTCTGCAATCTTCCTCTGAAGATTTTTGACGATATGCGCTTCTTCGGCTCTTCGTGCTTCAATCTTAGCAAGCTAATCAGCATGCATCTGCTCCCGCTTTCCTGTAGTTGTGATCAGCCTCTCCTCACGTTTGATTGCCGCCTCGTACGCTTCCTTGGATTTCTGTAGTCTCCCGCACAAGTCCACTGTCACCTTCTGCGCATTCTCGTTAGTGACACAAAGACTGCTACATGCCTCCTCTAACTATGTACAACGCTCGAATTTCTTGGCTAAGTTCAACTGAAACACTTTGCACTCTATCTACTTCCCACGAAGTTGGTCTTCTTGCTCCTGCAACGTTGCCTTCGCCGCTGCGCACTCCGCTGCCAAGCTTGCAGCTCGCTCCTTTGTCATCGTAGTCGCGGAATCCCACTTCCTCTTTACTGCTACCGCTCTTTTGAGCTTTGTTTTGTTCCTAATCAGCTCAACATACAATCTGGACTCGCTTCTTACAATATATTTTTCCCTCTTCATATCTAAATATTTCAATAAAGGTACTACGCTATCATACAAGAAATCAGGGAAGGCAATCTCCACTGTGTTCGGCCTTTACTCCGAAGTCTTCGTTGCAACCTTGGATCTCAATTCCTCCTCAGGTGGTGGCGGCTCTAGATACTCTGTGATATTTTCCACAGTCCCACCAACCTCTGCAACAATCTGCTTTAGAATTGCTTCAGTCAACGTGAACTCTTTTGCCAATTCTTCGCCGGACTTCGGCTGAATCACGTCTTCACTCCCCACAGATCGCGTCTGCTCCGAAGACAAAAAATTCGGACTAGTTGTCTAGTTGGACTCTGTCCTTTCCTCCGAAGGTTTCACTGCTACGTCTGTTGGAACTTGAACTTTTACCGCCGAAGGTTCCCCTTCCACCACTTGCTGTGTCGGCTCGACACTTGCATCTTCTACTGTCGCGATGGCTGCCACAATTGTCTTCATTACACTACTGTCTGAAGATTTAGTCACCACCAATTTGCGACTCGCCTTCTTCTTTGGCCTAGCTTGCGTTCTTGATT